CAGATGTCTGACCTCTCATTTTAACATAATGCACAAAGAAAATAAGAATATTTATACTATAGTTTTAGTATACTATACAATACTGTATAGTAGCCTAGTATATATAATAAAATATTATAACATTATAGTATTGAATACTTTAAAGTAGTATATTAAAGTATAGTATAGTATAATATAGTAAAGCAGAGAATATTACAGTAGGGGACAGAACAGAAGGGTAGAGTAATCTGAAGTATAGCATAGTATATCAGCATAGTATAGAACAAAATATATTATGGTACACTGGATCACTGCATAGTATAGTATGGTATAGTATAGCATAGCACAGAATAGCATATATTGTAGTTAATATGTTGAAAGGTCGAGCACATTCAGCAGTAGTTTCTGCCTCTCTACCAAAACCTATTGACATTTCAGCCTGAATGTCTCACAGAAATATCAACAGTTGGAAACAGTGATCTTAACGTGATCAAAGTACTTTGTTTTTGTTTTTTTTGTTTTTTTTTGTAAGTTTCTCACAGTGAAGTGCTGCAACACCAGTGTGAGGCTGAAGTGGATACTCCAGTTATTCAACCTCAATGTTACTTACTGAATGTGTTACTTAAATTTTTTTTTGCATTGTGGAAAATGTAACAATTTTGCTGATACCATGATATGTTCCTGCTCTGACAAATGTTTTGTTGTTATTCAGTCAGCTGCATTTTGTTACGAAGAATGGAGTGGAAGATTCTACAAACAAGGTAAACAAATCTATTTAAAAGCCCATGGTTGGTGCCTAGAAATGTGGATGACAACGCTCCTGCGTCTAGAGCACCATTTAAAGATCTTCAAAGTTCAGTCATCAACAAGGACAACATACAAAAACCCTTTTTTTGTTGTAAACAAAGAAATGCTTTGTTTCAAAGATGATGTGGTGTTTTCTGACAGGGAAACAGAGAAGGAGGAGGAAGAGGAGGAAGAGGAGGAGGAGGACGAGGAGTTAGTAGTTTTCCTGACACACACAGTGATTACACAGTTAAAAGCAACAGCATTGACGTAAGTCCTCCTTCCCCACAGTCTTTGGATGCACAAATTAACACCTTTCACTTCAGGGTATCTATGACAACGACAGCATTGATGTGTGTGTCTGTGTGTGTGTGCGCATCTGTGGGTAAATGTGAACACCTGTGTGTGTGCTGCCTGTGGCTGTTTTGCTTGACCAATTACAGGCGCTCTCCTTCCTTCTGCTCTTCGTCTGCCTGATGCACACAGAGGAAAAATATCTCATTTTTATGAATGAACAGCCGAGCCTTTTGTCTGCTGCTATTTCTGCTCTTATGTGTGTGTTGCTGGAAAGTGTGTCAGTATGCCAAATTAAACTTAAATAAATCCCCCCACAGCCGGTTTTTACTGAACGTCACATGTGCCCCTCAGTTCTACACCCAGCCGCCACAACACATTTGTTCCCTGACACTGACAGCGCTCCCTGCAGCGACATATGCATTAAAATGACTCGTTAGCTTGGCATAGGGTATGTTGCCATGGAAACACATTTTCTTTTATAGAACACCTGTCTCCTCAGCTCAAACACTTATGCAACAACACAAGTGGGTGTGTCCGACGACCTGCGTCCTCCTCCGTGTGTGATGTAGACCTAGGGTACCAGCTGATTTGCTGACAAAAACACTGAGAAGGAGATTTCCTGTGATACACACAGTGAGTGTACATGGAGATCCAGGGACGAGGCAGCTCAGACTGGATGGATGCTGATGCACCTTAGGAACCTGACTCACTGACCAATCAGTCAGAGGGATATATGAGCAGTTGAGGCAAACAGACCAAAGTCTGCTCACAGTGGAGGGATGCAGAGATCCACTCAGGCGATGAATGTTGTTTTTTAACGGGATTTCTCAGAAACTTCACAGAAGATGTGACACGTCTGTTTGAGTCGTGTCCACGCCTGAAGCCATGTTCTGCTTCTGTTTCCAGAGTCCATCTCTCAAGCTGCAGGCACTGGAGTCTGACTCTGGATCCCAGTCTGTTCAGGAAAACCTGCATCTGAGCTGCGAGTCGTTCCTGTACAAGCCTCCATCACCATCTGCCGAGGATGAAAACTTGGTGCATTCAGTGGAGCCTGGTAAGTTTCCAAACCTTGTTGTTAAAGCGTCAGATGATGAATGTAATAATAAACTATTTAATATGTAGACAAAAAAAATTTTTATGTTCTGCTACAACAGATTTCCAATCTTCAGAGTCTACGCCCCTCACCTCCACCGTCAGTCTGTCTAATGAATGTTCTGAAGACGACCCACTCTCCAGCCCCGGAGACTCCAGCAGCAGCCCCCTGCTGTCTCGTTTCACCTCCACCGACTGCCCCGTTCCATCACCACGCTGCCACAACCTGAGCCACAGCCTGCGCTACAACTCAGACCCCGACGCAGCCCCTTCTTCTCCGTGCTCACAGCACATACGCATGTGAGGGGGCGCTGTTTTCTTACTTAGTTACTTGCTGTTCAGAATGCAAATAGACTGACGCTCAGTGTTTTTACTCCATCTTCAGGGCACGCTGCGGTGTCAACACAGAGTCAAATGGGGGCAACGTGTCCGTCACCGTGCTCAACAGACACATCCACGCCCTGAGGAAGAGGATCAGACTATTTGAGGAGCAGTTTGAACAGGAGAAACACTACAAGGTGAGAAAAATGGTTTAAATAATAATAGAATGGAGATTTGGATCATAATGTATAATTATTGAGCTTGAAAACAGAAACAACATTTGTTTTCCTAAAGTAATAAACTTCATTCTAAGGCTCATAGATTAAATGTCACTTATTTTCCTTACATTCGTTCCCCAGTGATATGTTATGTTTGTATTCTAGGTTATTTTCCTTACATTAGTTCACCAGTGATATGTTATGTTTGTATTCTAGCCAGCCCATAATGACAAAACAGCCAATCCAGAGGTGTCCAGACTAATGAAGGACCTCATCAGGAGTCGCAAGCAGCTAAAAGGTCAGTTACTCAACAGTCAGAATCACAGTATGTCTGCAGTGGTCCCAGGGTTATTTCTCAGAGCTGCGTCAGTGTTGGACTAAGGCATAATGGTAAAATGGAATTAATCCAAGTGAATGACCTGTAGTTGAAATGATATATTCCCGAATATATGACGTTTTTTTCGTTGAAAATAATTATTAACCTCGGTCTATCCCATCACACGCTCATAGTTGTCTGAAGTCGCTACACGACTGCAACAGCAGAGGGCGCCAGATTTTGTTAAAGCCAGTGACCTCACTATGGTGTTTTTTTTCTCCTGTTAAATTCATTATGGTCTATTTGCACTGTTTAATGCAATATTCTGTTGTTGTCAATGTTATTGTATATGATTAACTAGTATTTCAATTCTGAATAGTTAAGTGAGTGGTTTGTTTATATATAGATATTGCTTCTAAAATACTGATCTTAATGATTGTATTATAGCCAAAAATGAGGAGAGTGTTCATTTATTATTTCAGTGATTTTGTCAGAACTTTTTTTCTCCTGTCAAATTCATTATGGTCTATTTGCACTGTTTAATGCAATATTCTGTTGTTGTTAATGTTATTGTATATGATTAACTAGTATTTCAATTCTGAATAGTTAAGTGAGTGGTTTGTTTATATATAGATATTGCTTCTAAAATACTGATCTTAATGATTGTATTATAGCCAAAAATGAGGAGAGTGTTCATTTATTATTTCAGTGATTTTGTCAGAACTTAAATACAAATAGTTTATTTTTTCAGTTTTTATTGTCTTTATTATTAAAGTATTATTTTTTTTCTTAATGATTGTCCACCACACAGAGCTGAAGCTGAGACAGACAGATGAAGCAGGGCTGAGAAGACAAAGGGATTTTTACCCATCAGGCAAATCATGTAAGACCAACGAAGACCATAGGGAGGTGTCAGTGACAGGAAGTGAGCTGCAGGTGCTTAACAACAACGGCAACACCAAACCAGACGTGGAAGAAACGGTAAACGTCATCAGCAACAGAATGAAGGAGAGACGGCGAGAGCTGGGTCTGCCCGACGACATCAAGGTTCGTGTGGAACTGAGACTTTCCACATGGTCTGGAAACAGTCTGGGCATTAACTACAAAGTGATTGTTCTCTAATCTGCAGGAGATGAACCATGTCCAAATGACCATGGAGAAGAGCAACATGCAGAAGTGTTTGCTGTACTTTGAGAGTCTTCATGGACGACCGGTAAGATTCACAGAGAAGACTCTGTCTCTGAACTGATATTCAGTGTTAATTTTGTGGAATTTATCTTTAGTTAAAGACTTAAACAATCAAAATAATAACAAAAACTGAACAGGAAGTAACGTCGGCCTAATTGACAATAAGATTTATTGATACTTAGGTTTTCCAAAGCTGAATTAAAACAACTAACAGGGTTAAATAAATCATATAAATATGACAATAATACACGTTGCTATTAAATCAACAAAAAATAATTGTGATGTTTTATGTTTGCCTTTCGTTCCTGTTTGTCTTCAGAGCACAAGACAGGAACGAACATTGTTGAAACCTTTCTACGATCGCTACCGTCTTCTCAAGCAGATTCTACTTTTATCTGCCACTGCAAATGTCATCTCGACCATAGTAAGTATTTTAAACACTTTAACATTAAATAAGATAAATTCACTTTAAACGAAATACCTGTATGACAGTGTGAAAGAGTAAAAATCACTGACTGGGGCCACAATCAGTGGTGAAAGAGATGTACTCTATTGCCATCTAGTGTCCGTATACAGGATCTACATTAAAGTTGTGTTGTGGCTGTTGGTTAACTGTCCAAACAGTTGTCTTAAGCTAGTGTGTGCTGAAATGTGTCCACAGGAAGAGGAGGAGCCTTCTGATGATGCTCATCCTAAACAGCACGTCAGCAGCCAGCGGACTCTGCGGCTGAAATCTCCCAGATCTGTGTCGTCAGATGAATCGCTGCATCTGGATCTGTCGGAAATACCTGTGGTGTCACCTCTGGAGGAGGAGAAGGTTCTGCAGCCACACACCATGACCATGGCAAATTTGCATGAAGCTTCAAGGTATGGTTTTATATCTTTATACGTTTAGGTTGTTTTTTTTATTATTGTTATATAACTTCAGCACTAGGACTGTAGAAGCAGGTGTTTTAGTTCATATATACTGTATATATGTATGTGTGTGTATGTGCATATATGTATAGATGTTTATGTATACAATGGAACCTTGGGTTTTGAACTTAATTTGTTCCTGAAGGCCGTTCGTGAACCAAAAAAGTTTGAAAACTGAATCAATTTAAATTAATTAATTTGTTCCTGGATGGGCGTTCGACATCCAAGGTTCCACTGTGTGTGTGTATATATATATATATATATATATATAAAAACACACACACACATATATATATACTTATATACACATATGTATATGTATATCTATCTATATAAATGTGTGTATATGTGTGTGTATGCATATATACATAAACTGTATATTTGTGTATTTATATAAACTTGATTTATTCTAATTAAATCTAATTAAAACCCTTCCTGGTCCAGACCTGAATTACTGGACCACCTCAGGACGGCTCGTCTGGAGAAGCGCAGGCTGCACCAAACACTGAGAGAGTTTGAAGATCAGTTCTATTGGAAGACCGGCAGGTAGAGGTCTCACACACACTCAAACACACACATACTCGCACACAAACACTCAACAGTCCACACTGTGTGTTTTATTTTCTTTAGTCTTTTATTAAACTTGGAACATTTTTTTTTTTTTTTTCCACACTGCTTTGTGAAAAAGGAAACAAAACATAAAACAAAACATCCACAAAAGAAAGTACCATTGTGAGATGCACTTAACATTTAAACATCACAGAGAACTGAGGAAAGAAAGGGCAGAGAGAGAGTGTTTTCTCTGGACTGTACACATACGTCCTACTGTATAGGTTAGTCCTTCCAAGTGTTACTACAGTAAGGTTTTACTACGATACAGACTGTACAAAGCTGTCTGCGTAAGGCAACAAAGTATGGAAGCTGCTGCGAGTTCTTTTCATTTCTGAAACTACAAAAAAGATAAAAGCCTTTTGTTCACATCTCCTCTCCTCCATGTACTTTGACAGGGCCTGTCAGAAGGAGGACCGTGGACCCATGGCGGAGGAGTACTGCGAGTACAAGAGCCTCAAAGCCAAGCTCCGCCTGCTGGAGGCCCTGCTCAGTAAACAACATGACTCAACCAACACCAGTTGAGTTTTCTCACAGTGAGACACTTTTTTTTCCTCTTTTAACAGGACTTTGTCGTTTTTGACCAATCAGGACTGAAGCCTGTGGGTCGTCTGGTGGAGTTCATGTTGTGCACAGGATGTGGACGCACTTTTACACAAGTGAAAAAAAGAAAATACAGTGATAGAGTTTGGAGACAATCTGAAAACTCGGGCGACTACAGACGTTAGTCCTGACATCACAGCCCTGTCATCTTTTACTGCTATAAACCTGATGTAGCAAGTGTACCACGTGGACCACGTATCAGTGTCAGCTGTTTAAAACGTGATATTGATGTTTTTGTCAGTCGTTCCAGGAAAATTCTGTCCCTTTATTTTGGTTTTTACTTTTTATTTAATTATTTTTTGTCTTGCCAAAATTGTCAACCTATTTCCTAATTGTTGTAAACAAAAAAAAGTGCCCTCTTGGCAAATTCAAATTGAAATGCTACCAGTGAGACAGTTCTGTGAGGTTTGTGCACGTCAGCGCATTTTCACTCCTGCATTGTGCTGTGATTCGCATTAGAGAATTATTGGTTAAATCTGAATCGTGACCCTTTTAATTTCGAAAGTTCACTCTAAAAAAACAGTACGTTAGTGAACCTCCACACTATAGTGCAAGTGACGCTGCTGTTGCATTGGCCTCTATTGATGCCTGTCTTTTAAATGCTGTTGTTGACACTGATCAGAGTTCTTGACATTGTGCACTTGGGGTTAATATAATTTTCTATAGATATTTACATACATCATATATATATATATGAATATCAATAAAAGTAAATATTTTTTCACATTTACTCTGCTAAGCACAGTTTATGGTTCTACTTTCCACTGACTACGCTAAACTTAAAAGCAAATGCTGCAGAGAAGGTCGAAGCAGTGGCTCCACCTTCGTAATTCTTCGTAATCAACTGCATCATTCTTTTTCTCCTTTAAAAAAAAAGTAACCAAGTTAACAAGTTGTTCATTGGTTAGTCATCGCAGACAGTTTTGGAGGTTGTTGCATTTGTTTCCACAGCAGGTTGATGTCGGGTTTGTTTTACCTTTGGTTTAAAGTAAGATGACTGTACTGGAAATGATGCAGCCCTACGAACATGTAGTACCAGTCTATGCCACTAGTAGGAGGTAAAAGAAGTCAGATTTTTTTCTACGGTAATATAGGAAACCAAACGTGTAAATAAAGACAAAGAGAAAAAGACATTTGTCCACAGACATTGGTGGACGGTCAGTTAACAGTATTACCATTAATAACAAGGCAAAGGTTATGGACTAAATAGAGAAGAACAAATTAATACAAATGTAATGTGATAAATATAAATACAAGTAGCCCATGTTTTACTTACAGTTAAAGGGTTTGGTGAGTTTCCTGTCGATGAGTAGACAGAGGGACGGACGGATGAGTTAGGGTTGGTCTCTTTGATAGTCCTCGATGTGGACGTCTTCAGGTGTGTTTTAAACATTTAGGGCAAATATCGGTGTTTTCCACGTGACGAGACGACGGTGCAGGTTTCAGGAAGTGACTGTTTTCCTGTTGCTTCTCCAATCTCTTTGGGAATGTTGGTCTCTTCAAGTCCAGAGCAGTGTTAGAGAAATGCTGATGTGCAGGTCTGGAGCCTACGGAATCTGCTGCGTCATGCATGTACTGGTCTGTCGGTGTGTGTGTGTATGTGTAGCTCAGTCACGCTGTAGTCCTCCCCTCACCTCGCCCTCCAACAACTTGTGGATTCCTAGCGACCCACGCTGATGTTGCAGGTCTTGCAGCTGGGGTCCTTCTTGGCATTTACTGTGGACAGACTCATCAGCTGGTGCCCACTGATCTCCGCCACCGTACCCACCGCCAGGTCCAGAGGATCAGTGTAGATCACCTCCAGGATGACGTCCTGGGCGTGGTAGAACATCAGACCTCCATCGCACCCTTCCACCACCTTGCAGGTGAGGAAAGGGTTGCTTCCGATGTCCAGCGCAGGGAGACGCTGCTTGCAGAAATCATCACCTCTGGAGCCCTTCGGTGCCAGCACCAGGATGACGTAGTGGTAGGCCGTGTACATGCAGTAGAAATCTCCAAAGTACAGGTTGGTGTCGGGGTTGAAGAGGGTGTTGGCCTTCACCTCGAAGCGCAGGCGACCGTAGGGGGAGTCCTGTGGAGGTTTTCCTGTGTTGAACTCTGTGTTGCAGCTGAAGAAGATGCCCTCCAGTTTACCACTGATGGGGGAGCCGTGGCTGCCGCTGTTGTCCTTCACCGACGGCAGCATCTGGTTTCCCTGCTTCTCCCTAGGAAAAAAGTGTAAAATTGGAAAAAGAATTAAGTTTATAAGGTAAGTACATATTAATCGATGATGTCTAAGGTTGATCCTGTAATTTAAAAAAAAACTGAGTATGAGTATTTTCATTTGTGGACTTGCTTCTTGTATAAGATTAGAAAAGCAGAGCCAGAGTCTCGGAGTAAATCACATCGACCATCCTTCCTGGAGATGGTTTCTCATCCATTATTCACTCTGTCTAAATCACAAACGAATGAACGTTCACGTCAGTAAATGCTGCTGCAGCAGTTGCATAAATTAAATCTGAGCTCCGAGGTTCCAATTACAAACTGATTACAACGCAATCACCTCAGAGGTTGTCATTATAACTCTAATTGATGCTTTGCTGTCGGCATTACGCAATTATTCAGCTTCCACCCCAGGTCACATGATCTGACTTGATCATGCAGTACTCGCATTCGCCACAAGGTGGTGCCGTCGACCCAAAACCTGTTTGAGGGCTCTCTAAACAGCTGCAACTCAGCAAAAGGAGAGAGGAGCGTTCAGATGACGTCATTGTTAAAGGCCCAACAAAAGAGCTGGGGCTTCAGTACAGAGACTGTGAGACATGGACAGGACAGAAGGACAATATTGTAAGGACAAGGAAGTGAGACCGTCACTGGAAAAATCACCCAAACATAGACTATAATTTAACATGTTCTCTCCTCTGTGACATTGAAGGGCTTGAAGGACTGACCTTTGACCTTTCAGATTGATATAAGACGGCAGCAGTGTTTTCATGGATCTGTGAATTTATAGAATCAAAAGGCCTTCTGCAGCTGCAGCTGAATTACTGTTTTTTTTTTTTTTTTGCCTGGCAACATGCTATTTTCTGTAGAGCCGTTAAAAAAAAAATTAACCAAAAATAACACAGTCATCATTTACCCACCTGGCAAGGTCAAAGTACTCTTTATTCTGGTTCCTGTAGAAGACGGAGAAAGGTAACATCCGGCCGGCGATGACCTCTGCCTTTTCCATCAGCTGGTTGAGATGAACGGTGGAATAATCTGCACAGACGGAGAAACAACTCTGTGAGAACGCCAGTTCAGTGTGATTGGATATTTACAAACGCAGCGAGTGGAAATGTGATCCTTTTCTAAACAACACAAGCATCTGAGTCGACAAACGATGTTTGTCTGTGTCCTCAAGCACCCCTCCTGCCCAGACTCCTTCACTGGCTGAAGTGACTCAGCATTTAGGCCAAAATCATTTTCTCCTCAGTCAGTCCTTTAATATAATCTGCTTTCACTCACCACCATGTAATCCACATTGCCAAATGGGTGTGGAGTTCGTCCAGGGAGTTTGAAAAAGAGCAGCCCTGATTATGCAAGCATTTTTTCCACAATCCTAGTTTTGCCGGGAACACTCTGGAATTAAGTACTTTATTTTTACAAAAAAAAAAAAAAAAAAAAAATTTGATAAAAGACTGAGCTTTTACTCTGGGGAACACAAAGTATGCAGGCCTGGGGTTTTAAATTTGTCTGAGTTTTTTTTTATTATAAATATTTAAATTTGAGTTGCATTAAGTTCTCATGTCTATTTAACCTTTAACCTTTTAGGGTCATGGTGGACCTGGAGCCCCTCCCAGCACTGACATTCACACCTGTGGTCAGTAACCCTGGACTGTGACTGAAGGACCAAAGCTGAAATGAGGAGAAGCCTCTGTCGCCCACGGCCGTGTGGTTCAAGTGTCTGGGCAGTAATTGGAGGATTGTGGTTCAAATCCTGGCCTTGGCTTGACTGCGGTTGGTGGAGCAAGAACCAACTCCCCGGACGCATTAACAAAGAGCAGCTCACTGCTTCTGTCTGTCTGCTGGTATTTACTGGACTGTTTCACAGATGACATGATTGCAGTGAGTATCTGTGGGATTTTAGATCTGTTTTTACTTGAATTTTTATTCAAAACCAAGGTAACAGTGACTTGACTTGTCTTTCTGCTCTTCTTGTTAAGCTCATTGACTTTTTATCTTCCAATCTGGCAGCCATGTCTTCAACTGATGTAATGCATCAAGCCTGACTGCTCCATGAAACTGGACCTTAGTCCAGTGACTCTACTGTATATGGTTTTTGTGACAATGTTCTTCACACCGTCTCACTGCCATCACATGTTCTCCCTTCCCGCAGCCCCTGCCCCCCACTTTAAGCCTCTAACCAACAACACTGAACTCTATGACCTTTGCATCTTAACAGAGTGCCCCTCCTTCTCTAATCCTTCTATCTTAACATCCATCCATCCATCCATCCACTCTATCTTAACATCCATCCATTTCACACTAATAAGCTTTTATTCTCTATTTTCCTTTAAAGGTTGATTTGCTGCCATCATCTGGAGCCAGCAGTGAGTGTGTCCAACATCCTGGACGTGAACACGCCCTGGGCAGCTGTACTGTAGTTGCGCTCACTCACCAGCAGTGCAGAACTCGATGATCTCGCTCCACTCAGAGACAGCGTAGTCCCCGTCACTCTGTTTGGATGCGGTCTGCACGGCCACAGTGTACTCTGTGCGGGGGCTCAGGAACCAGTGACCCCTGACCGTCATGGGCAGTGGCACGGCCTTGGCCACGAGCTTGGTGGGGACGTCCTGAAGGGAAGGAGGGATGGAGGGAGTTAAGGAGGGAGCGCCGGAGGTAAAGAGGGAGTGCTGAAGGAGGTGAGTGGTGACAGGAGTGGATAAACCATGAAGAAACACTTCTTACAGCTGTCGTTCAGATACAACAGATCTGTTTGTGAACACCAGGCCACATGTTTTAAAAAAGTGGTTCTCAAATGGTGGGACTGGACCCAAACATGTGCTGTTGGGTTTAATTAGAATGGTAGCCAAAGTTTAAGGTAACAAAACATTCCTTATACTTCTACTGGACATAAAAATATTTAAAAAAAAACTTCCAAGTACATGTGGATTTTTAGGTGACTTCATTTGAGAAACACTTTAACAATTATGCAAAAACACAAAAGTAAAAAAAAGAAAGTATTTTCAATTAATTATTAAAAACAAATACATTTTGAAATAAATAAACAAAGCTCAGAGTTAGAGAGGAGACGTTTTTAATGTGGTTTACTGCACCACGTCACTGATATATACTATTTTTGAAGTTGTTTTACTTTTTTCTTTTTTGTCTTTCTCAATTATATCACTGATATATACTATTTTTGAAGTAGTTTTTTCTTTTTTGTCTTTCTCAATTATAAAATGTTTTAAAATACAATAGAGTTCCTGGTTGAATAAAAGTAAATACAATTAATGTATGTTTTGTTTTTTTTACAGGAAATACTGTATTAGAATGAATGATCATTGTAATTAAGATTTTCCAGATGTGAAACCATGACCAAACCTGTTGTCTTCACCACTGTGACTCCACTCAGTGACTCCACAGCTGTGACTGAGTTGAATCGTCAGCCTGCAGACTAAAGTATTTTCACCCCTCACCACTGATTCCAGCGTTACCTTGTGCTTGAACTTGTTGGAGTTTTTGTTTTCTTTCTTGTTCAGGTCGATGAAGTAGTGCGTGATGCGCTCCCTGCTGCCTGGTTCCATGTCCCAGCAGATCTTGAAGGAGTCACAGGTGATGTTGCTGATCTTGATGTTCCGAGGAACAGGGAGCTCCTCCAGCTCAGAGATGCTGCCGTCCTGGGATTTACTTCCTGTGTAGTGAACAAAACGGTATGAAAATTAAGTTTAATTTTAACAAAAAAACCTCATTTATTTGATGCATCATCAGTGAACAGTGAGACTCGGTGTAATCAACAGCTTTGATCTCCATCCACTAAAAATTAACCCTCAGTACAAATTCATCCTCTTAATATTTGCACCACAGTAAGCCTTCAAAGTAGTACTGTATATTTCAACATCAAACATGCATAAAGAACAGCCTGCGTCACTGACTACCATATATGTTGCCATGGAAACAGACCCATCCTCGTAAAGGCACATGCATGTATGTACATACCCTGGCTCCCAGAACGTACAGTATATGGCATTAAATATTTCAGACTCTGCAGAAACAGAGGAGAAACAGAGAACGTCACCGCTGTACATCACACAACAATCTCTGGACAAGTACAACTGAGTTTACCCACTGAGGCCAGTGAGGTTTTGCCGGTTGTAGCTGCTGAATGAGAGCTTTGTAGTACTGCATGTAGTACGAATGCAGACTTTGCGTCGGGCTCTGACGCGGCCCACTTGGCATGACAACAATGTGTTATCTATGTTCGCTCTGGGGATCAAACAGAAGAGGCTCTGAAATCCAACAATTCAGAATGAAGAGTAAGAAACAAAACATGCCGATGTCTACAGAGAAAACACTGAAATTACTGTCAATGTACACGAAGCCAATAATAACTGAAAAAGTAATTTCAACAGTTAAGTGGAGATTAAGCCCAGAGCTCATCAAAAGGTACTGTGTTGAGAGCCAGTGGACATTTAAACAATGATTTTTGAATTTTCTAATTTTCAAAATATTATCTTTTCCTGCATGTTTCTCATAAAATTAGGGCATTTAAAGAACATTTTTAGAATTATTTTTCAAAACATTGTGAATTTTTTTTTGAAAATGTGTTCAGGAACGATAGAGACGATCATCAAGACGATCATTGGGACACTCATCAAGAAGATAATCCGGAAGATCATCCAGAAGATCATAGAGACTGTAATCAAAAGTTGGTGTACCAATAAAGTATATTCTTTTCTGGGACTTTTTATTTTTATGG